GTTGCTGAATGTAACAGAATTTATCAACCAAAAATTATCTTTTTTGATTTCAATACATTCATATGGAGGCTAATTTGCATAGAGTGGAGATTATTCAGTCTAAAACAGGAGAAAATTCAAGCGGAATTCATATTTCGTTTCATCCAATTCATTCTGTTTCCATTTTTGTTCCTATCATCTGTAAGATTCTGAAAATTTGAATTACCAATATTGTTTCGGTAAGTTAGAAAGATCGCAAGTTTAAAGTTTACCAAAATTATACTTTGATTTATTAAAATATTTTTCTCTAAACTTGCAGTTTCATCTCTGATTCATATATTATTTTCAGGAAAGTTCGTAGCGATGAAAAATGCGCTAATTGCGTTCCTTACATTACTATTTGCTTTTTCGATGCTTATCGCGGTAGTATTGCTGGTCAGATCGCATACAAAAGATTCGGTAATTTTCATGAATCGTTATCATTGTGATAATTACGTTGAAAGAGATTTTATCGTTATAAAAAAATAGAAAATGAGTGTTTGTTCAAGAATGATGCGATGAAGACGGAAGCAAGCGAAACGGAATCAGGCGAGATGGAATCAGGCGAGATGGGATCGAACGGGACGGAATTCGGCGAGATAGAATCAAACGCAGACGATTCATTGGATGCGAACAACAATAATCTCGACTGCCCTGAAGTAGCATCGAATAACACTTCCGCAAATGGCGGATTCATCCCCCATTTTTTTCTGAGGCATACCGTTGATACAATGCCACCTGCACAGCGAGAAATACTCCCGTCGATTCCATTGAGAAGGCGCGGAATGACGCAGGACAGATTAATCTCTCAGATTCCTCCGAGCGATGGTGAACTCATCAGTGATACAATGATAGTGCCGTCGAATTCATTGAGAAATCGCGGAATGACGCCTCAGTTCTTCTTGAATTATAGGCACATCAATAATGGAACGCTGCCCAAATTAGGAAGGAAACTGTCGTCGGTTCAACTTAGACAACACGGAATGGCACGGAACTGATTTTAATCTCATATA